ATCAAGTGTTCAAATTGACACAAATGCTGACAGTGAACATAATTTTCTTTTGTCTCAAAAGTTCCTTTCCCACTTCTCTCTCAAACAGCCTTTTGTCTTGTTTTTAATAATTCTAAATAGTTCTTACTAATTCTAAATAGTTTTAAAATAATTCTGGCTGTAGGTAGACAGCTCACCCTAGTTTATTAAGTATTGTGTGTCCATATTAGAGGTGCTGACAGTATTATGTAAATAATCATAATGGGTTTAATCACTTTTAAATTTTTTGCTTGGGGATATAGGCCCTCAATGTTGGGTCAGGGGAGGGGAATGGGGTGATGTGGGGAGTGGGAAAGAGATGAGAAATGCCCAGCACAAACAGCAGAAATAGCCTAAGACTAGGAATCAGTTATCTGTGCCTTAGTCCTTGCTCCAGCCTGGTTCTTCAGGTAAACCATGTAACCTCACTTGTTCATTATACATCTAGGCCTGTGCTGTCCAATATAGTAGCCACTAGCCACATGTGGTTTTGAGCACTGAAATGCAGCTATCCAAATCCAGCTGTGCTATAAAGTCTCATTAATAAATTTTTGTATTGATTATATTTAAGCAATGGAGAGCCACTTAAGGATTTTAAGGAAGGAAATGCCAGGATCAGAAATAATGGTTTAGATCTCTGGCAGCTGTGTGGACACTGCATTAAGGTGAGGAAGACTGGAAGCAAGGAGACTGTATAGTCTAGGTAAGAAATAACATGGCCTAAACGAGGGTAAAAGGGAATGGAAAGGAAAGCACTAATTCAAAACTATTATTTAGGAATAACACCAATGTAATATTGTGATTCACTTGTCCTGACTCTGTGGAAAAGGGTTTGATTTTATTCTAAGGTGATGGGAAGACCCTGGAATGTTTTTAGCAGGACAGCATTTTGTTCTGATTAAATCTGTTATCTGTTTAAAGGACTACTCTGAGTGCTGTACACCACAATAAGGGGGAAACAGAAGTAGAAAGATAGTTGATCTAAAAAAAAAAAAAAA